AACGTGTATTGGAGCATAAGGTAGGAATTATACGTTAAACAAGGCAATGTTTTAAAACACTCTGGGGGGAGGGGCTAAGATAATAAATATAAAAATTCCAGTTAAAGTAGCTAAAAATAATGGGATTCATTGAGAAAAAATCTAAACTGTTGTTGTTTTTTAAAAAAAAAAAAAACAATAAGCCGTACAGAGTTACAAAAACATTTTTTTATAAAAATGGTGAAATATTAACATTGCTCAGTATTAATGTAATATCTCTATTGTTTTTGTATTTTGCATAATTCCTCAAGAAAGAGAGCTAGTACAAATTATTCAGAGTATCTTGATATGGTTGAAGTTTCCATTGTTTCCAGGTTTCATGGTCGTAAATTAATGGCGAAAATAAAATAAAAAAATTGATAGACATTAAAGGTGTTAACAATTTCATAATTAACAATAAGTTATAATTAAACAGAAATTTAATACTAATTATGACTATCATATCCTTGTATAAATAATATAACAGAAGAAATAATCAAATAACTATGTGTTCTTAAAATATATTGGGTTCGTGATTAAAAATTCGATAGAAAGAACAAAGATACTAAAAACATGAATCTTATTTTTATTGAATTAATATAAGTCAGAATTATAAAAGATATGATTCATAATTCTGTGTTATAAATGATTATATTATAGAAAAAAAAAATTTTGTAAATATTTTATAATGATCAGTGTATTTTCTATATTAACAAGTAATATATAAAAAAATTTAAGTCAATTCCTACTTAGGTCAACAAAGAAAAATTTTATTTTAGATGATTTTTATTAAATAATTATAATTAACATAAATATGTATATACGTATGACCGAATCACAATATTAAGTGGCAAAATAGAAAGCAAATTTCCTTGCATTAATCAATGCACATTATCGCCATCTATTGCCTTCATTTGAAACGAATTTAATTCTATCTCTTTTATAATAAAACTAATTAATTAAATTTAATTAATGAATTAATATTTAAAAAAAACTGTATTAACGGGAAGTGTCATCCACTACAGGTTTAAAAAAATTTATTTGAACTGAGTGGATGGGAATAAAAAGTATTTTATTAATAACTGAAAATTTGAACAGGGTATATATAAATATATATATATAGGGAGAGAGTAAACTAGTAGTAGGAATTGTAAAAAGAATTAACAAAACACGCTCATATTTGCTTGATACATTATGAAATAGTTTGAATCTATAAGATAAATTGGTTTTGTCACCACGTTCACAGTACCGTATAATAGCGATATATTTTAGGTCAAAAAGATTTAAATTAGTTATGCTAACATTAAAAGATAATCAGAGATCTATTTAATATTTGATCTCTCACCTGTGCATATTGTTTGGCCTTTGAATCTCTTCTTCCGTGGCTTTGCTTTTCAACCTCACACTTTCGAGAAGTTTATTCAATTGAGCTATTTCGTTTTTTAAATATTCATTTTCTTGCACCTGTTTTTTCGTTATAGTTTGCACGCGTCGCAATTCGCGAATCTCAGTTTTGCAGAATCTTATTTCAGTTTCTTTTTGTGTAACATCAGTTTTGATTTGCGATATCTCCTGCGCCAACAACTCAATATTTTCAATCTTTATCGCCAATTCCTTCGTTTTTTCAGTTAGTTTTGTATCAATTGCTAATTTCTCAGCAGCAAGGGCGTTGAATTTGCGCTTATTAAGTTCCAGATCGCGTTCCTTTTCTTCAAGAGTCTTCGAAGTGTTTCGATAATCTTTTTCTTTGGACTCAAGGTCATTGCTTAACTCTTTGTTCCGAGTATGTAACTGCTTTAAAGTACATCGAACATTCTGATTCTGTATGCGCAATTGACTAACCTGCTTTTGCAGTTTCAAGACCTGATTTTCAAGGTTTCTGATTCGACTAATTTGCTGTTGGGTGCTTTCAGAGAAAGCTTGTTGGAAGTGCAACACTTCTTTCAACTTGATTTTGGTGATTTCAAGTTGCTTTTTTGTATCGTATTCTGCATTGCGACTGAAACGAGAATCTTCCTTCTCCTGATGAAGTTCTCTCTTCAGTTTGAAAATCTCTTCGTGTTTGCTGGCATTGCTTGTTTCTAGTGAATAAACTTGGTTTTCTAATTGCGATTTCATTTTGGAAAGTTCTAGAACTTGAAAAGACAATTTTGAAATTCTTTCTTCCAGTGACTTGATCTTATGTTGGTACTCGTTAGCTTTATTACGACTGAACTCCAGACTCTTTTTGAGCTCCCAACAAAAGTTTTCTTGAGCTCTGAATCTAGCCGCAAAATTCTTTGAACTCTAAGCAAAGATAAGAATAAATATTTGAAACATTTTATGTATTATCTCAATTATAAAGTAAAAGCTTAAAATTCTCAATAAAGCATAAGTCTATGATATCGT